GAACTCACTAAGTTTTAAATTTTTGAACCCTTTTCTGTGACACAATAATTGTACATACTTATATAGTACATTGTGGTATTTTTTAACTTGTTTTATAAGATATAATGATCAAGATCAGGTTAATTGGCATATTCATGAGCTCACTTAGAATTTTTTTGTGTTGGAACATTTATAAACCTCTTACTAGGAATTCTGAAGTAGGCAGTTGTTGTGTTGACTATAGTTATGCCACTGTGTTATAGAACATTAAAAGTGATTCTTCCTGTCCAGCTTCAACCCTGTACCCTTTAACTTTCCTCTTCTCTCCATCTTCTTCTCCTCTGTTAACATTAGTCTACTCTTTGAGGCCAACAGTTTAGCTCCTGCATGTAAGTGAGAATGTGGTATTTATGTTTATTTCACTTAATGTTCTCCCTGATCTTCCATGCTGCTAAAAATATTATTCATTTTATTTTATTTTATTTATTGAGACAGGGTCTTGATGTGTCCCAAGCTGGCCTCAAACTCTGGGTAATCCCAAGTGCTGGAATTATAAATGTGTACCATCCTGCCTGGCTTGTAGATGTCTTTTTGACATATTGATTCATTCTTTTTGGATATATATCCAATACTAGAATTGCTGGATCATATAGCAGTTCTATTTTTAGTCATATATTGAGTTTTTTGCATTTGTGCCATCATGGTTGTTATTTCTAGTTCTTTTTTGCTCTTTATTCTTTTTTAATATATCACATTTTTTAAAATGTACTTGGTACAGGGTTTCACTATGCAGCTGAGACTCATAGTGACCCTCCTGTTTCATCCTTCCCAGTGCTTGAGTTACAAGCTTGCTCCACCATGCCTGGTTTCAGTGGCCAGCTTGGCCCCCCGGGGCCAGCCAGGCATGCGGTACCAGGCATCAAACTCCAGTCCTTGTGCATGCTAGGCAGGCGCTTAGACTGCTGAGCTATCTCCACAGCCCCAATACATCACATTCTTATTTCTTGGCTATAGTATTTTTTTTGTGTACAGAATGTGTTTTCTCCAGTTGCTGTGCTTTGTTTGGGTTTGGTTTTGACTTGTTTTGGTTCTGTCATCCAAGTTAGAGGCTTCCTTGAATGATTGGTAGTCCTTCCTGGGGTAAGAACATGGGAGTCAAATGCTACCTGGAAGCTCTGAACATGATGGTGGCCCTTGCCACATTCAGGTCCTTCTTGTTGTGCAGGACAACTCTTTTTTTAAAATTTTATTTATTTATGTGTGTGTGGGGCCAATTCAGCCCACCAGGGGGCGGGGGTGGCTGGTATGTGGTGCTGGGGGGTTGAACCACAGTCCCTGTGCTTTGCTAAGCTTGTTCTAAGTAGGTGCTTTAGACCACTGACCCATCTCACCAGCCCCTGTGCAGGACAACTCTTTGTGCAATAACTCCTGCTTGTTTGTTTGTTTTGAGACTGGGTCTCACTATATAATTCAGGCTGGCCTTGAACTCACTTTATAGCTCAGGCTGGCCTCAAACTTGCAACAATCCTGCCTCAGCCTCCTCAGTGCTCAGATTACAGACGTGCCATGCCAAGTGATGACCCCTTATTTTATTTTATTTTTTGTAATGGTTTTAGAGTTTTGTTTTTGTTTTTGTTTTTTGGCAGAACCAGGGACTGAACTCAGGCCCTTGTACTTGCCAGACAAGCACTTATTCTACTGAGCTATCTCCCTGGTCCCTAACCCCTTATTTTATATACCTTTGGTAGAATATGAGTTAAATCTTGAGACTTCTGGGGAAGGTAGGAAAAGGGATTTTGCTTTTCAACATCTTATTTATTTATTATCATTATTTTTTTTTTTCATTTTATCTATTTGGTACAGGGTCTCATTACGCAGTTCGGACTTGTAGTGATCCTCCTGTTTTTAGACTCCCCAGTGCTGAGATTACAGGTGTGCACTACCATGTCTGGACTGGGTCAGGACTCAGTGAGCCTGAGGAGGGTGAGGCTGGCCTGGTATGTGGATCAGGGATTGAACCCTGGTCCTTGCACTTGCCTAAGCAGGTGCTTAGTCCTCTGAGCTATCTCACTGGCCCTTTTCTTCAACCTCTTTAATTTCATACATGCAACTTCTTCATCCTAGTACTAGACTACCTGGTCCTATTGCGTCAAGAGTCCACTATGGACTGTTGGAAATCAGCTTTTATCCTCTTGTCTCAAATTAGGCTGTCAACAGGTCTGCTTTCCCGAGCTCAAAAAATGTGTCAGCAGTGTGTCTTCTCTTGTTAACTCAATCTGTGACTTTACATCTCCTTTAAAAATCTTTCTGCTAGGTTGGATTGAAGAAGGTCATATATGGTATATAGTCAGCATCCCCCTTATTTTTCCATCGTAGCTTGGGTAACTGGAGGGGTGATAGCAGAGACCACATCAATGATGATTCAAGGACATTTATGTGATGGGATTCCTTAACATTTTTTGACTCTTTTGTTTTACATTATTTACAGTCACTATGGACAAGGGAAGTATCAAGGAGAAAATAAAAGCGGCTATTCCTGTAGGAAAGCCTTGGTGAGGACTCTTCATGGTGGTGATTTTGTGGTGCCCCCAGCTTGGGTGAGGAGGATGGGCTGGTGCTACAGCCCAGGGCCGTGAGGCGTGCGGGGACACATAGGGATAGGCTTGGACCACAACCCAGGTGCAGCCCCTCCTGTCACCACACAGCTCCCACTGGAGGTGGGCAGCCTGCATCAAGGCCTAGAACCTTGGCCAATGAGTGGAACCTTTGGCTCTGTGGGGGACATGCCTTGCCTGGCCACCTACAAGATGATTTTAGATGACCCTGAGTGATTTGGGAGGCCACCCTTGGACATGGCTGGCCCACTGAGGAACGAAAGGGACCTAGAATTGACCTAGGTCAACTGTATTTTCTGTGAGGACAGTTTATGTAGCTCAGAGGTCAGGGGCTTGGGTGGAGGAGGAAGAGAAGGAAGAAACGTTTCCTTTTCTTTCTGGGGTGTCTGTCATTGGGGTCAAAGCCCTGTGATGTTCTGCTTTTCCTGCCTGTGTTAGTCCTTTCCCTTGTGGGGTCAGATATTCTCTGAGGCTCCTCTGATAGCACTTCTGGTCACATTGGTGTCCCTTTGGTGTCTATAGGCCTCAGGGCAGCACTGAGAGTAACTCTTGTTTCTTAATTAGTGTCTGGGTCTCCCCAGCTCCACTTTGGGGTCCTGCGGGTCCCCAAGTCTTGCTGCCCATGGGGCTCATAGCACAGCAGGTGGGAGCTGGGAGAGGTCCAGCTGGTCCAGCTGCCCACCCAAGCTGGGAGAAAAGCAAGGGCTAAAGAAGCCCCAGTCAGGGCCAGAACTCGCACCTGCCAGCTCTGGGTTCAGTGTTCTTTCCTACCAGACTGCCTCTCACAGCTTCCCCCTCCTTTGGAGGGTTTTGATTTGGGGGTGTTCAGAGTTAAGAGATCTGGGTTCAAGCGTTGGAGAGGCTGTTTTGAACCTTAGATGCAGCAGTAAACTAGGAAAAGTACCATGCTCAACCCACATGAGGACCGTGCGTGTGTGTCACGTGGCCAGCACGGGGTCAGAAGCAGAGCCATTGCCACTGTTGCCGTCCGTCCTTCCCTTCCGAGCTGTCAGATATTTGGGTAGCTCATACTGGGCCAGGGGCACCGAGCCCACAGAGCATGGAGGTGTGGGAAATACAGTGGGTCACAATGGAGCCTCCTTAGAGATCAGCTGTGGGTCCCAGGGGCTCTCCAGCCAGTCCGGGTTCTAAGTTACCGGGCTCTTCCTGTCCAGGGGCCCTAAGAGGGTTCCTCCCAGTGCCTGCTTCCTCCCTTCAGTCCCGGTGCAAAGCCCTGCGGCTCCTGGGCTCTTACCCACCCCTGGGGAAGGGGATGGGCCCATGGGAGAGCCAGGCCTGTGCCATCTCCAGTTCTGGTTTTCCAGGGAGCCCTGGCTGGGGGTTGGAGGGGATGGGAATAAAAGCCCAAGAGGGAGGGGAGCGGGGAAGCTGAACGGGAACTGAGAGGGAAGGGTGTGGGTGGCCCCGATCCAGCCTGCCTCCTACTTTCCTGCTGCTGCCAATCCCCTCCCTGTCGCTCATCAGAGGCAGGGGCTTGGCTCAGTGGTCTGGGGGTGGGAGCTGGAGAACTGACACAGCTACACCCCCTCTCCAGCTGTGGCCTGAGGCTCTGCTTTGTTACTTCACTGTCTTGAGGCCCACACCTGGAACAGGGAGAAAAAGCCCCTAAAATTCAGCTGTGTGGGTTTGGAGGGCCAGCTTTAACCCACCCATTCTCCCATTTTGAAGGCAGATGGGGCCAGTTGTGGGGTGCGGAAGAGAGCCATTCGCATCCTCCCTCAGAGCAGCCTTGACTGTGGCTGTGGCCTCTCCCCACCAAGGCAGCCCCTAGAGAGCAGAGCAAAGCAGGCCTTCAGCCTGGCTCAGTCCCGGTTCAAGTCCGAGCCCTGAAGTGAGGTGACATTCATTTCACTACATCCTGTGACTGCTGCTCACTTCCTCCACGTGGAGGGAGCAGTGTGGGGGTGGGGGGTCGGGTGAGGACAGATTAGAAGGAAAATGTAGCCTGGCTGGGGGGCCTCTGGGGGAAGCTGGGGTTTCCCAGGGGCTGCTTGGGGTGGGAGGCAGGGTGCAGGAAGCCTTCAAAGGAATGGAACGGATGTGCACGAAGAGAAGGGAGGAGCGGGAGGCAGCGCAGGTCCCAGAAGTGGCACCAGCAACACAGTGACTGGAGGCTCTGGCTAGACTGCTGCCCCAGCTGTCCGGCTGCTCCCAGACGGTGGCAGGAGGGATCGTGAGGGCAGCCTGCCAGTGTTGCTGGCTGGGCCTGCCTCAGTTTCCTTCTTGGAGTGCTGGTGAGGACGGGAGGAGGTCAGGTCAGAGGCAGGGGTCCTCATGGACTGTGCTGGCCCTGGGCTGTGGCCTAACCCTGGGGAGAGGCTGAGGGTCAGGTGGGCCCGGGCTTCTGACCTTCTGTCCTGCTGACCTCCTTCTCTTCCCCAACAGGTGGAGCCATCAGAAGCCCAAACCCACAGGACAACTTGGGCAGGTCTCACCAGTGGGATCAATACCGAGATCTATGTTTAAGCTCTAACTCCTGCTTACTAAGGCCACAAGAATTCCTTCCCCAAAGCCCAGCAGCCCCCAAGCCCCACGCAGCCCCAGCCTGCCGCCCACCACCCAGCTGCCCGCCATGCCCTCCAGCGGCCCTGGGGACACCAACAGCTCCGCCCCAGAGCGGGATGACGACCGAAAGGTGAGCTGCTGGCTGTTGGGCAGGGGTGGGGGGTAGGGTTGTATGCACCCTGATTGGGTCGGGGGGCTACCTCACATAGTGGCATCTCTGCTGTGCCAAGAGCTCCACCATGAAGTCATGTGTGTGGCTTGGCCTTGACAATAGACTGGTGGGGACCATCCACATTCCAGCTTTGGTGATGGGGAAACTGAGGCTTTGAGACTTTAGATTCTGGTAGTGGGCCAGGAACTTAAACCCAGGGGTTCTGGGCCTTGAACCTTAGCTTTCAACCACTATGGTGTGGATTCCTTTTTCGGTCTGTCTCTTACTAGCTGTGTGTCCTCAGGTAAGCCCCTATACCACTCTCTTCTGGCTGTTTCTGTGTCCTAGGGCGTTTTGTAGACATAAGGTACTCTGCCCACACAAACACACAAACACTGAGCTATATCCCAGTGTTCAGTAGCGAGGGACTTCGGTGGCCATTGGAAATAGCAAGTCCCTGTTCACTGCCCTAACCTCTGAGCAAGCGTCACTGGGTAGTCCTTGCTGTGGCTTTGGGCTAATGAAGTGCTAATCTTGTATTTTCTGAGCCCTGTGAGAGGTGACCTCTTCACCCTTCTGCTGAACTCTAGGTGGGGTTTAACTCAGCCAAAAGGGACTTTACCAGACTGATGGGAACCCCTCAGGGTCATCACAGATTGCCTAAGGACCTTCCTAGCTATAAGCATCCATAGGACAATCTACCTCTAACCCCAAAACTTCAGATTCTGGGTTCCCTTCCCTCAGTAGGTGGTGACTTCCACTGCCACCCTGTAGTGGAGTTGTGACAGCCGGCCTTCCTGGCATGTCTCCACAGTCTCCTGCCTGTGCCCCTTTTCCTGAATTAATGTGAGGACTCTAGATCCTTGGCCATGTCCAGGAGTGGTAGGGCCTATTCCTCTGGAGCAAGGATAGACTCCTGGGGCCAACCTATGAGCACCCTAGGAGTGGGGTGCCACCCGCCAAGCTTGTCAGTACTGCTGCCTTCCTCACAGGGTGACTGTGAGACCTCCCTCACACATGCTCAGTGCCTTCCTGGGCTCACTCAATCTAAGAGCGTGTTTACATTTTCTGGGTGGTTTCCATCCATTGTTCCATTTTCCTTGGGGACAGCCCTTGACAAGTGGGACAAGACAGATGGCCTTGGTTTACAGATGGGGATGCTGAGCCCAGCTAGTTAGTGGTAGGTCCAGATGAGAGCCTGTCTCCTGTGTCCTGGATCTGAGCCCTTCCCATGGCCATGTGCATAGGTTCTGCTGTGGACACACACACACACACACACCTGTCAGCCTCCTGCGCTCTGCACTGTTAGCTGTGGCTTGGATGACTCCCTGCCCTCCTTGGGCCTGATTTTCCTGTTGGAATGGATGCATCTGGGCTCCCCGCTACCCTGAGTCCCACGTTCTGACAGATGCTGACATCTTCTCATCTCTGTAGTTTCACCCAGGGTACCTGCAGATGGGACAAACTCCTGTCCCTGGATTATAGATTCCTCACCTCCCAGCAGCAGCTCAGGGTTGGACTTGTGATTCTTCAGGATGGAAAATGAGCTCTGCACAAGGAGATGAAAGTCCCAGGCTTGAGTCCTGAGTGTGTCAGTCACTGACTGGGGATGTGGAGATGTGACTTCAGGCCATCTGGACTTGTGTTTGCTCAGCTGGAAAATGGGGATAGTAACTCTAGCCTCGCCTGTTTTATTGGGCAGTTGTGGAAGTCAGATGGGGTCATGAGCATGGAAGTGCCCTGCAGACAGCAAAGTCTGGTCCAATTATAAGGGATTACGACTGCTATTATTATCTACCCATAGTAACTGCTCTGGCTCACGCAGCAGCAAACACATACCCAGTCCTGGGTCCTGTGCTGACAGAGTGAGCACACTTGCACTCCGGCAAGCAAGTAGTTGTGCCAAAAGATGACAGTGATCTGGAAAGTCCAGCCTGGGGCACAGCTGGGCCTACTCCTGTGTACCCACGCCCATGGCGCACATGCTGGCTCACCTGGTACACCTCTCTGGTACCCTAGGCTGGCTCCAATAGTGCCAGGGAGCTGCCCTAGGAGGGTGCAGGGAGACACAGAGGTCTAGGAAAGCCAGGCCTGGGGCAGGGGTGCTCCGTAGTGGCACATGGGGAGACACAGGCTTGATCTGCAGCCCAAGGAGCCTGGCAGAGGTGCCCAGGAATCTGGCACAAAGAGCTGTCTGGCGAGCCAGAGGGAAGGGGCGGGGCTCCCCACTGGCCCCTTTGCTGCCTGGCCCCACCTGCCCCACTTGTTCCTGCCACGCCTCCAGCACCATTTGAGTGCTTCTGAGGCTGCCAGACCTTTGTTTATGCTGTCCTCTGGGCTGGCAGTCCCAGTCTAGCACTTCACCCCTTTTCTCCTGGTTTTGTCTGCCCTGGATTACAGTTCACAGTGGACTAGTGGTTCCAGTAGTGGTCAGTATGACCCCCAAACCAACCACATCAGCAACCCCTGAGCCATGATGGAAATGCAGACCTTGGGCCCCAGCCATACCTGCCGAGTCAGGAACCTGGGCTGGGCCCCAGCAACAATCTGTGTCTCCAGAGCACTCTATTGCCCGCAGATATTTGAGATAGACCAGTGTAGATAATGTCACTGCCCCTAGAAGGTGGTCATGGCCCTTCCATGTGATTACCCAGGACCTGCATTGGCACAGAGTAGACACCCAGGACATGTTTCCTGGATAGGACACAAAAGAAACCCCTCCACAAGAGAGAAATCAAAGCCCAGAGGCAGACAGGTGGGGTGCAGAGCTTAGGAGCTGGGCTGGGTGGTTGTACTCGTGGCTGGGAGTATGCAGGGAGTGTATGTCTTTGAGTGCCCCCTGGTACCTGCTGTCACTTCTCTCTGACATCCATGGGGTGGGCGAAAGGGGCTGCTTTACAGGCTGGGAGGAAGCAGGGTGGTGAGCTGTGAGGCTGTGGTCAGGTTGAGTCAGGTGGGAAATGTGGCTGCAGCCAAGAGGGGTCTATCCTAGAGGGGCCTCTTGGGAGACCAAGAGTTTAGAAGGATCCCAGGGAGGGGGCCGCCCTGTGTAGAGGAGGGTAGGGTAGAGGGAGCAGAAGGGGGACCAGGGGCCTCCTCAGCTCCCTATGTGTGAATTGACACTGGCCAGGAGTCCAGATCCCCAGGCGGTTTCCTCACGCTCAATGTTTCCCGTTTTCATTTTTGGTACCATTGATTGAACTCAGGACCTTGTGCTTGCCAGGCAGGCGCTTATTCTGCTGAGCTATATCCCTAGCCCCATCACCTTTCTTTTAGCCTCTGAAACATAATAATGGTCAGGATGCTATCTGCCAAGTGCTTTATTCATACATTATTATATTTAATTCTTACAACTGCCCAATAAGGTAGGTAGGCCCTAGTATTTTCATTTCATTTCATGTCTTTCCTTCCTTCTTTTCTTCTCTCTCTTTTTTTTTTTTTTTTTTTTTTTCTAGGCTAGGGCTTGAACTGGAGGGTACATGACCATTGAGCTATATCTCCAGCCATTTTTATTCATTTATTTATTTGGTACTGGAGATCTAACTCAGGACCTTGTATTTGCCAGGCAGGCATTTATACTGCTGAGTTATCCTCTGGCCCTTTTTTTTTTTTTTTCCTGTATTTAGGGAAGGGTCTACAAGGTGTTCAGGGTCTCACTACGTAGATTGGATTCGATGTGATTCTCCTGTTTACAGCCTCCTGAGTTCTGGGATTACAGGCGAGTGCCACCACTCCCAGCCTTAATTGCCTTCTCAGTGCTCCCTGGGGACGGGGCTGGCATAGCATGCTGGGGATCTGGCCCATTTTAAAAAAAATTATTTATTTTTATTTATTTATTTTTATCCCTGGCCCATTTTATTTTTGATTTTGAGAGTCTCCATAAGTTGCCCAGGATAGCCTCGCATTTGTGATCCTCAGCCTCCTGAGTAGCTGGGATTATCAGTATGTACTATCATGCCTGGCTTCTGGGCTTTTCTTATTAGGGCTAAACCAGCGCTCAGAGAGGTTAAGTCATTTGCCAGAAGTCGCACACTAGTAGGTGGTAGGGCAGGAGCTGAAGCCTGGTGGCCTGAACGCCTGCACTTTTCAGGCTGGCTTCCATGTGAAGAGGAGCAAGCAGGGCCTCTCGGCCATGCAGCTCTGGGTCCTCCTGCAGCAAGTCAAAGGATGCTTATTTAGACTGAAAGTCAGGATGGTGCGAGAGGTCTGCCCCAGTACGCAGGTACTCTTGCCCTGGGGTGATGCTCCAGGCGTTTCATCTCTAGCAGGAACATGTGTTCAGGCCCGTGGGCTTGAATCTGCACATGGCAGTTAGGTATTCATTGAAGACCTTGCAGTGAGCGCTTGCTTTTATCACTCTCTCTTCTTCTCTCTCAGTTTGTTTGTTTGTTTATTTATTTATTTATTTATTTATTTTTGTATTTTAGGGAAGGGCCTACAGGGTGTTCAGGGTCTCACTACCAGATCGGACTCATAGAGATCTGTCTGTTTACAGCCTCCCAAGAGCTGGGATTGCAGGTATCACACCCAGTCTCGGGGGCAGGGCCGGCATGGCAGGCCTGGGGATCGAACCCCTAGACCCTGCACCTGTTTGCAGGTGCTTTAATCCACTGAGCTATTAGGCTAGCCCTCTCTCAGTTGTTTTTTTTTTTTTTTTTTTTTTTTTTTTTTTTTTTTTGTTGTTGTTGTTTTGTTTTGTTTCGGAACCGGGGATTGAACTCAGGCCCTTGTGCTTGCCTGGGAAGCGCTTATTCCACTGAGCCATCTCCCCGCCCCCCTCAGTTTTTTAACATAGGTTCTTTTCCAGGTATCTGCTGCACAGTAGGGCTCTACAAGTCTGTTGGATAGACTGATGATTCCTAGAGGATGTAGAAAGGACAGGGGACAGCAAAGTACAAAGGTGGCTAGGCTGTGGCAGCACTCCGAGGAGGGAGACTTCTTGGTGACTTACTCATGTTGCCCTCTCCTGCATAGAGCAC